AGATAAAACCCTTTTTAGGAAGCCATTTCTCTTAATCCATTTTCTACTACCATAACAGAATATTACACACTGGGCAATTTATAGTGGACAGAAATCTATTTGGCATGACAGTGGGCCTCTGTGCTGTGCTCTAATGTAGCAAAAGGGCACAGGAGTGAGCCTAACATACAAAAGGGCAAGAAAGAGGCCAACTTAAACCCAGCTCATAGTAATTAACCATCTTCTCTGCAGACAGCAGAAGCCTGTTCATCAGCACAGAAGCCTGTTCATCAGCACCTAATCACCTCTGAAAGGTCCCACTTCTTAATGCTGCCACAGTGTTATTTCCATTTTTATATGAGTTTTGGAAGGGACCTTTAATCAATAGCACCACTGCAGAGTAACTTTCTAGCAAATCAAGGAACAAAACTGAGAGGAGAGCTAATATAAGAAGCAAAGACAATCCCCAGGATAACAATGAAGGCAAACACCAAAATTTACTCATCCATTCAGCAAATCATTACTGACCACTGACTACTTGTCAAGCATTGTCTTAGGATGACAGCTGTCACCACAGAAGGCAACTAGACTCAAGCACCTTGAGCCAGGTGTGGTGACACAGGCCTGTGCTCAGCACTTGGAAAGGCTGAGGCAGGTGGATCACAAGTTTGAGCCCAGCATGGAGAAGCTAGGGACTTAGTAAGTCCTTATTTCAAAATAAAAATAAGAGCTGCAGATATAACTCAGTGGAAAGGATGTATATTTAATCCCCAGTGCCAGAGAGAAAGAGAGAGAGAGAGAGAGACAGACAGACAGACAGACAGACAGACAGACAGACAGACACAGAGAGAGAGACAGAGAGACAGAGAGACAGAGAGACAGAGACAGAGACCAGAGGCCAGTGGCAAAAAATATGCCAATGACAGCTTTCCACACACTTGACTTTTTAAATTTTTTTAGACATTCTTACTAAAAATTCAGCCCAGGCTGAGTTAAAATTTAAGATCCTCAGTCTCAGAGTGCTGGGATTACACATATGTGACTCCATACCTGGTTATGTATTATCTTTTTAATTTGATGAAAGGGAAAGACAAGCAGTCCAGGAAACAAAGAATTTAACCAAGAAGAAAGGTAAAGACATTTAAGGCCAGCATGCAAAGTCTCAGAATGACAGGCTGCACGCCTGGAAAAAAGTGACCAGAAAAAAGGAAGAGGTCTACAAGAAAAAAATTTAGAACTTAAAGAACACCTTGAATGGACAGACTAATAACTGGTGTAGTTGGATCTGGAAGGTCCCCAAAAGCCCAGGCACTAAAGGCCTGGTCCTCGGCTTGGTGCTGTGGGATGGGGTGGAACCTTTGGGAGCAGAGGCCTCCTGGAAGGGAAGTGAGATCACATGGCCTGGAAGGAATATTTGGACCCAGGCCCCTTCCTTTCTCTCTATGATTCCCAGATCCCATGAAATGAAGAAGCTTCCTCCACTATGTGCTCCCACCAGGATATACTGTGCCACCACAGGCCCAAAGGAAGAAGACTAAGCAACTATGGACCGATCTCTGAAGCCATGAGCCAAAGTAAACCTTTTCTCCTTATAAGCTGTTCATCTCAGGTATTTTATCACAGTGATAAAAAGCTAACTAGTATATGGACTGGTAGAAAACCATAGTGAGAGGCTACTAGGAGGTATAATAATTAGCAATGGATACAAAGAAAAACAAGTAAATTGAAGAACAAAGAGTTCTTAACCTCAGTGAAATCGAAAAAGGAAAAAGATAATAAAATCATAGTATACTTTGTAAGCCTCAATGTATATTTTCACAGGCATAGAGACAACTACTAAATAAAGATATAACACAAAACTGAAACTATGTAGAAAGACAAAAGAAATGGGAGTATAAGGGAGCTAAATCCTCACATATGATAAGAACTAGAAAAGATAACATCCAAAATTGATCAAAAGGGGCCAGGGAGATGGCTCAGTGGAATAAGTGCTTCCCTGGCAAGTGTCAGGGTCTGAGTTCAATCCCCGGTTCCACCAAAAAAAAAAAAAAAAAAATTGATCAAAAGATGCCAGAATAAACATTGTAAATAGGGACACACAGACTAAAAAGGGAGTTGAAAAAGACAGGGCAGGGAACCACTGCTTTAGCAAAATTTTTTAGAAGTAATGGACTTTTTAAATATTAGCTGAAAAACGAAAACTTAAATTTAAAGAAAAAAAGGACTGAGTGTTCACAGCACTATAAGGTATGCTGGTAAATGTTTCCCAATCAGCACAGGGTGGGGAGATATCCCTGATTTGCAGTATTTGTGAGTTTTGGTGGCTTAACAGTGGGTCACCAGGAGCCAAGTCCAGGGCTCTCCTGACCACAACCGACTCCCACGTTACACTCAGTAAAGGTGGGGCAGGACAGTTCAGCTTCCACCTAAAGACCAAGCCAGAGCCAGCAAGCCTCAGCCTGCCCCACAGCCCAGCACCCAGAAGCCACCTCTTCTGCTTCTGTCTTAGGTCCCCACCACCTCCTGGAACACCCTCATCTCTCCTTTTTCCAGCCCAGGATATCCTCACAGCCTCACATCATTGCCAGCAAGGGCAGAGGGATGAGCAGGGCTGGTCCCTGGGTTCTCCAATCAGTATTAAAACTTCCCTCACCACTTGCTAATTTTACCTCAGAGAAAACTCACCCTTCCCCAGTATGTGTTTTGCTCCTTGGGAGTGTAATATACAGCAATGTCTTTCATCTTTCCTAAATCCCACCACTACAAAACAATTGAAAGGCGTTTGGGTTTAGCAGAGATTTTCCTGGAAAGCCAAGTGCGTATAAATACATGCCCAGGTGAGCCTGCATCCTTCTCTGCTCCTCCACCCAAACAAGCCATCCTCCTCCCCTCTCTCTCCCTGCAATCTCCACGAGGAAATCTTTGTACAAAGTGCAAGATTCTATGCCCCTACAGCTATAACTGGGGTCAGCCACACCACCTCCATGCAGAAACCATAAGACATCTTTATGCTTCGGGAAAATGTTCACACAGCGTTTAATGCAAACCGGTCACTTTACAAACAAGGTCAGTAAGACTCTCCGAGAGGGAAAAGAACTTGTGCAGTTATGCAGCTAGTTAATAATAACATCTGACATTTACTCCCCATAGTGCTCCACATTTTGCAAAAGTACTTAAGTATGCACTATTTCAGCTGACTCTTACAATCTCCACCCAGGAAACAAGTGTTATTGTAATGCTTTAGAAATAGGGAAAACAGTTCAAGGGGAGGGCAAATTATTTGGCCCAGGTCACTAAGCATGGCAGCACATGCCTGTAATCTCAGCTTACTCAGAAGGCCAAGGAAAGAGGATCCCATGTTCAATGCTAGCCTGGGCAATTAAGTGAGATCCTGTTTTAAAATAAAACAGTGAGGGCTGGGACGTGGCTCAGTACTCCCAGGGTTTACTCCCCAGGGTGGGGAATATTACAGTGCAGAAAACCCCAATTTCACTCCACACCTATCTGGGCCATATTTTGGGGAGAGCACATCAAACCCAGATCTAAGATAAAATCTTATCCTTCCCACTTCCCTGTTCTCCAGCCCTCAAAATTTCTTCTTTCTATTCATCTGTGTGATTAAGGGAAAGAGTTACCCAGAAACCCTTCACATTTCAGTAATACCAGACGCTTCTCCCAGGGGAATGGGGCCTGGGAAGGGGCAGAGAGGAAGCCTGGGGTTTTCAGGATCACGGAACTGGGAACACTAAGGGAAGCAGCTGTGGGAGCTGGAGCTGGCAGGTCTGGAGAAGCCCACACCCAGGATTTCAGCAGGCAGCAGAGGAGTAGGGCGCATCATAAAATGTTGCTCCACTGGAGAGTGAGTGTGATTATTCACAGTAACAAAAAGATGAAGAACCCCAAAGGCTCCTCTGCGCAAACACGTACACGTCCCCTCCACCCCCCACCTCCCAACCCTAACCCCACCAGGTCAGAATTAGCTGAACAGCCTCCAAGGGGCTGAGGCAGGCCCTTCCCAGGATGATCTCCCTCCTGCTGGCTGTGTTCTGGGCCTCACCCATCCAAGGCTTTGACCAATTAGGATGGGGGGGGTGGTCTGTCTTTCTCTTACTTGTTCTATCTGGGGAAACCAGTCTGGGGCAGACAGAGCCTGTACATGCTTACCACCAAGAGATAAGGTAGGGGAATTTGAGCAAAGAGGGCAACCTTGGCAGAGTCTGGGGGTGAAACTGAGAGGCCCAAGTGCAGGATAAACGTGTGGGACAGGAGACACAAGCTGTGACCTGACCAGTTCAGTGTCCAGCCCCACACAGCCGTAGGCCATTTCATCAGAAAGCTGACTATCTTCCTCCTGGATTACCTATCATCCCCAAGGGCTAGGGGCTTCCAGGGCGGCTACACCCCACCCAGAGCCCCTGTTAAGAGGCCATTATAACATCAAGTGAGAGGCAGGGAGCCCAGCATCCTGCCTGGGTTCAGATCGAAACCCACCACCCCATGCCTATCTGACCCTGAGTTCTTGGGTAGGCCCCTCAATATTTCCGTATGTAAAATATCATCATTGCTCTAGGAGTGTGTCCAGTTCCAGCACTAAGGTAGCCCAGGATATAAGGAGACAGGGGAATGCAGGCCTTCCAGAGGCTGGGTGGAGAACAAAACGATGTATCTCAGAGGCCACAGAAATGCTTTAAACTGCTGCCTAGATGGAAAAAGAGGGCAGGGAATACAGGGGCCTGGCCAGGGAAAACTTGTGCGGTGATAGACGGTGCAGGCTCTCCCAAGGCACAGGAGGGACACAGTGACATGCCAGCAAGGGGTGGGGCTGAAAAGAAACAAGCTCCAAAGAGAAGACGCTCCTAGAAAAGAAGTTCGGCTGCAGATTTGGAGGAGGGACAGGATGTCCCAGTACCTGAAAGCCAAACTGCCGAATCCATATCGGGCACATCTGGAAACGTCTGCCTCCTGGGGAGTGAGGAGAGGAGCGACCAAAATGGAAAGGGTTGGGGGTGGGGGCTGTTTACCTTGGCTTTGCTAGTGTTCTCCCGGGGGCCCTCGAGCTGCAGCCAGAAGTAGGGGGTGTCGGGGCGACTCCGGAAGGCGTTCAGCTTGACCCTAAAGATGCGTTGCACTTGTAGCCGCTGCCGCTGCACCCGAGGCTTCGATTTTGTCTGTACCATGAACCATTCCAGCGCTGGGGGTTCACCCCCAGACAAGAGCATGGCTGCCCCGCCCGCCCCTGCAAAGGGAAACGCGGCGTCACCAGGGTCCCCGCGAGCGAGGCGCCCAGGCCTCGAGCCCCGCCCCCTCCCCTACAGCGGCCCCCCACGCCTCCCCGGGCCCGGAACCCACACCAAGGCCCGGGCGCCCGCCCTCCGTCCCTTTCCGCGGTGGCTCCCGCTACCAAGCTCTTCCTGCCCCGGGCAGAGGCCGGGGGTGAGACCGGCCGGGCTCCCGCTGCCCCTCCCTGCCCCCCACCGCCTCCCCTGCAGCGCTCAGCTCAGCCCTCCGGGGTACACGCCTCCGTCAGGGGCGTAGAGGGGCGCGAGAGGCCGGGAGGGAGGGGAGATGGGCGGGGACGAGAGGCGGCAGGGTCCTGGAATCCTCTGTTGTCCACTCGAACTTTGGGCCCCAAGCCAGAATCCAGGGTCAAAGTTAGTTTCCTCCCACGATCCCCTTTCCTTACGAGGAAGGGAAAGGAGGGGAGAGTCGGTTTGAGAGACGCTCTTTAGAGATTTGGAACCGCACTCCCTCTTGCGCAGGGCCTGCCAGCCTTTCTCGGGGAAGTGGGACCTCGCTCACCCTTCCTTGGGAGGAAAGAGTTAAGGGGGGCAGGGTGGGGAGGCCGGGGCTTGAGGAAACTCTGGGCTGGAGACCAAGCAGGAAGGAAAGGGTAACTGTACTGACTCCCCGCTCTCCACTGTAGTCTGGGGACTGGCTGGGGCTGGCCGACAGCCCAGACCCTCCTGAAGCCCCCAGGGGTGGAGGGGCAGGGAGGAGCTGCCGGAGTTTCAGGCTTGAGTTGTTTATGAAAGCCCTTTTTAGCAAGTGTGAGTTATGCTGTGAGGGGAAAGGTGGGAGGGAGGATCTGCTCTGTAACATAATCTCTGAAGGTCTCCTTCCACCCTTGACCTACAAGCCCAGAATTGGTTTGCGTGGTCTGGGACTACCCTGTGCTGGGGGGAGGAGGGGCCGCCTTCAAAACTTAGGCCCTGGAGGTATTCTCCGCACAAAGAACGCTTTCTACAGCCTGTGGCCTGCACAGAACCTGGCGCTCGGCCTTACGGAGGCAGGGTCTACATTTGGGGGCTTGGAGGACCTTACTTTCCAGGCTAAAACCCAGAATGACAAATGTGCCCATAAGGACAAAGGAAAATGAATCTTTGATCAGGTTTGTCCTGGAATATCTGCGCTGCAAGCCCACCTATGTGAGGGCACAGGTAAGGGACCAGGAGGGCCCTACTGCACAGAACAGGTCAATGGGGGAGAAGGGAAAACTCAGGAACTCTTTGCCTGGACTAGACTCATCCACTGGTGCCCCAGGCCCAATTCTTGTGTGCAGTTTGGAATTCAGAACAGGAAAAGGTGACCTGTATTCACTCTGGCTACCTGGCTCCTCGTCCTTTCCACTCTAGAGAGCCTTGAAGCAGAAGGGAGCATCAGGGAGCACACCTTGCCAAGAATTTATTTGCAGGAGTGACAGGTCTCCCAGGAGAAAGTTGACCCTGATTAAAGAAGGGGCCTGCACTGAGCTTGACAGAATTGTAGAGCCTATCATCTCAAAGCTCCAGCAAGAGAGGCAGTTCTGTCACTCAGAAATCTAGACCAAACCAAAAATCACAGAGCTATTGGGGCTGGTGAGATGGCCAAGTGGTCTAAAGCACCTACTTAGAACAAGCTTAACAAAGCACAGAGACCGAGGTTCCCCCAGTACCACATGCCAGCCCGCCCCGCCCCCTGGTGGGCTGAGCTGGCCACACACACACACACACACAAAATAAATAAATAAAGCAATGGATTCTTACTTTAAAAAAAAAAAAGGGATTCACAGTTAAGTATTAGTTCTTCAGATACTTTAAAAAAAAAAATCACAGAGCTATTGTGATGCCAGAATAAGCACTCTATTCAATGGAACAGACTAAAAATCTACAAAATAAGATCAACACGGTGGTGCACACCTGTAATCCCAGCACTGGGGAGGCTGAGACAGGAGGAGCACTTAGTCCGAGCTGGGTAACAAGACCCTGTACCAAATAAATTTTTTTAAAAAATTTTTTTTTCTTATTTAGTGCAGGGTGTACAGGTCTTACTACCCAGCTCGGACTCATAGTGATTCTCCTGTTTTCAGCAGCTTCCAAGTGCTGGGATTACAGGCCTGTGCCACTACATCCAATCTCAGTCACCATCTCAGCCTGCCCCAGGGGGTGGGCTGGCACAGCATAGGGGGATCAAACCCCAGCTGCTGTGCTCTGGCTAAGCAGATGCTTTAATCCACTGAGCTATCTGGCCGACCCAAATTAAAAAAAAAGAAAAAAAAAAAAAAGGAAAAATTTAAAAAGTCGTAAAAGTACTAGAAGAAGTCATGAATTTTTGTAGAGATGTTACTTACTATAAACCTATTCTAAGTTGAAAATAACTAATAACTCCTCAAAAAAGTTAAAGCTAGAAGGAGCTGGGGAGATAGTTCAGCTGCATAAGCACCTGCCTGGCAAGCAAAGTCCTGAGTTTGATCCCCAGTGTTGTAACTCAAGAACGAGGCTGTCAAAAATAAAGTGCTGTTTATTTAAGCTGGGCCCCCAGCAGCGACGTTTAAGAGGAGTTCCCCAAATGCGCATCGTGGAAAAGAGGGAGCGAGGGGTTTTTAAACTTGTAAATCACAAACTCTGGGGGATTAAGGCTGGGGGGGGGGAGGATTGGGGGTAAAGGTCAGCTGCAGAGCAAGATATCAACGTACAGAGGAATTCGGGGAAGAGGGGAGGGGTTCAGCAAACAGGGTTTTTTTTTGTTTGTTTTTTTGTTTTGGCAGAACAAGTGGAACATCTGGCGAGGTGGACCATTTTTGATAAACATACAATTTGGGGAGGATCATTTTATAGCACAATTTTGAGTCATTGTAGAAAGTTACAATATTTTGACCTGGCTTGAAAATGGCGCACACAGAAAAAGATAGTGGCACTTAAGTTAAAGTATTACACCCGGTACCATAAAAAGAAAACCCTAAAACTAGAGATCCGTTTGACCCACCTATTCTCCTCCTTGTTATCTTCCCAAAAGAATTAAAAGCATCATATTACAGATATATGAACATCTGTGTTTATAGCAGCATAATTTGTAATAGCTAAATCTTAGAAGCACCCTGAATGCCCAACAACCAAGTGGATAAAGATGTGGTTTTTTTTTTTAATACAATGGAGTATTAATTTGCCATAAAGAAGGATAAACTTAAGACACTTCTAAATAAGTGGCTGCACCCTGAGACCATATTTTTTTCTTTACTTTATTTATTTATTTATTTATTTTGATACTGGGGCTGGAACTCAGGCCCTTGTGCTTGCTAGGCAGATGCTTATGCTATTGAACTATATCCTCAGCCATACTTTTAAGTGAAATAAATCAGACACACGTTTAAACACCACATTGTTTCTCTGGTGTGAGAAACTGAAAGGATAAATAAGGATCAAAATGTATAATAAATATTCAGAAATAAGAAGAAATGATCAAATAAGAAGTGGCACAAGGAAGGGAGGAGGGGAAAAGAAAGGGAAACATAGAAGGAAAAATGGAAACAGTTTTTGTAAATAAGGAAAGGAAGAGAGATTAAACAGAAGGAAGAGGCCAGCCATATAGCTCAGCAGACTATAGTGCTTGCTTAGGCAGACGGCAGCAGCTGGTTGGTTCCATGAGCCGCGCCAACCCCGCCCCCCGGGGAGCACGAGATGCCTTGAGACTGGGCGTGGTGGCGCGTTCCTGTAATTCCAGCATTTGGGAGACTGAAAATGGAATCACTACAACCTAAGATCTACGTAGTGAGACCCTGTACACCCTGTGATCCTGTCCTAAATACATTAAAGAGAGAGAGAGAGAGAGAGAGAGAGAGAGAGAGAGAGAGAGAGAGAGGAGAGAAATGGGAGAAAAGAATAAAGATATATTATGAACAGGTACAAATTCCCTATGATGAATATGATCATTATGTATATCTAAAATGCACCAGTAAATCCTTGTGACCTTGACAGTGCTGTGAGACAGCATCCTATCACACATATTGCTAGCCAGGGAAATGAAAAATAGTTTCTACTAAGTGCCTGGAACCAGGGATTGAACTCAGGCTCTTGTGCTTGCCAGGGAAGTGCTTATTCTACTGAGCCATCTCCCAGGCCCTTATCATTTGTTCTTTAGATTTTTGTTGTTGTTGTTGTTGTTGTTGTTGTTGTTGTTGTTGTTATTTGGTACAGGATCTCACTATGCAGCTTAGATTCTTAGTGATCCTCCTGTTTTCAGCCTCCCCAGTGCTGGGATTACAGGTATGCACCAAAGTGCATATTATTTCTGTGCAATAATAAAGTTGAAAAACTGTAAGTAGAAAGATTACAAATCAAGGACCACTGCATTATTATATTTTAGAAAGGTGGGCCATCAGGAGTCATTTAAAATGTACTTAATACTTTCACTTCTGTAACTGCAGACTAAGTCAATACAAAGATGGATGAAGAATGTGGTGGATTAACTAGTGGTCAGCTTAAGTGGGAATGCCCAGCTGAACTGAACTAGCATAGTTTTGGGAGTGCAAGACCCACCTGAGGATTATTGCTAGCAGTATAAAAGGAGAACAGGACAGGGAGATGACATACTGTTGATTTTTCCTGGAGAGGTTTTCCCTGACTAGTTTTCCTGATACAAACTCAAACTCAGCTATTGCCATTAGAGGAAGAGTTCGTGTCCCCACTGTCACCAGGGATGGCTGCTGTTCCCTTCTGAGGAGTCCTGGTCTGCACCTTGAGCATTGTTTCCTGGCTCCAGTGCAGATTCCTCAGCCTTGTGGCACAGGTCCTGCAGCTTGCTGCCAGCACGGACTTTCTAGCTTGTACCACTGAACGTTGGGCCTTGCCAGGGCAGATCCTAAATACGAGAAACAGAGACAGAGACAGAGGAGGGAAATGGAGGGAAAAAAAAAATAAAGATACATTATGTATAGGTACAAATTTGCCTGAGACATTGCTGTGGACTACATTCATGTAGGACGCTGCTGTGGGGTCCAGGCCCTTGACTGGATCCTTCAGGTCGCTACCTCAAAGAGAGATCTTTTGCGCTTCTATGCATTTGATTTTTTGAATGAATATTATAAAATAATCCCACAAATTATGTGTCCTGCATTAAATCTTTTCTCCTATAAAC